AACTGACATCAAATTTGCAAATAAAAGCCCTGGATTAAATACAGAAAAATAGAAGAGCTGAGCTGTGCCATTTAATTTTCAATTGCAGCGCTCAACAACTTTTGTTAAGCTAGCATCTTTAATATAATAAAATATCCCAAAGGTGTTTTTACCGGAGCATTACAAAATATGAAAAACTGCATAAGGAAACATGAAAGATAACAAGGTGTAGAGCTGGATGAACACAGCAGGCCAAGCAGCATCATAGGAGCAGGAAGGCTGACGTTTCGGGCTCTACGCCTTGTTATCTCAGATTTTCCAGCATCTGCAGTTCCTACTATCTCTAAGGAAGTATTAAGTCAGGTGAACAGAAGATTACTCAAAGAGGTAGATTTTAAGGACCATATTAAAGGAGTAAAGTGAAGTAGAGAGGTTGATAATAGTATAGAACTTATTCCAGAGTTTAAGCATTACAGAATCGAAGACGTGACCTCCAATAACAGAGTGATTAAAATGAGAAATAGCAAAGCGACCAGAATTACAGAACAGCAAATATCTAAATTTCTTTGGAGGTATTTATTCTTGGATATCAAGACAAGCTATTGGGTGTTCACTAACTGTAAAAACCATGAGTCGGCCAAGCATAAAACAAAACATACCTTCCGTACTTTATTTGCTGTAAATGTTTATTGAAGACCAATAGTTTATTTACAAACTACTACAATTTATCTGATTTTTGGGTGCAATGGTGTGTCATTTACTTCTTGTGTATGATCATTCCTAACACAGCTAAATTTACGAGGCAACTCCTGTATAATACAGTCTGTTCTCTGGTTAAGCTAGCCATGATTTAAATTATTTGAATATGTATTTTATAGACAACATTAACAGTGTCCCATCGTGTGCTGATATCCGTAATGTAGAATTTGCAGTGAGAAAAAAAAAACTTTTTTGATCTTGAAAATACAGATTTACTGTCAAGCTAAACACTTAAACACTTACAGTATACCCTAAAAAAAAAATCAGCATAGAACATTTCAGTCTGATTTGAGGAACCATCCAGATAACCATGATTATTGTATAAAACCATTTACATTCCCATCACCGATTTCTACAATGAATATAACTTTCATTCTCAAAAGCAAGGTACTGCAATTGCTTAAAATCTATAGAAAACCAAAAAAAAGCCGTAAAAATTCTGCAAGTCTGAGAACTGTTCTAATGAAAGGTTATTGATTTGAAATATTAACTCTATTTCTCATCACAAATGTGCCCAACCTAATGAATTTTCCCAGCATTTATTCTTACTGCAATTCTTTAACATTCAACTTTCCCTAAAGGGCCCTAACTGTTCAGAGATAGGGCAAAAAAAAACCATCAGAGCAGCCTACAGCATTTGCTCTCCAGAGATGCTGACTGACTTGCTGAGTATTTCTGCATTTTCAGTTTCAGGAGGTATAATTGTGACATGAGACCTGAAAATAGCAACTGTAATACATTTAAAGATGAGGTACAAACATGCATGTCAATTAAAAGATTATGTTTCTATTTATACATCTGTTATGAATATAAGAAAATATTCTGGATTGCCTTTGAGTCCTACAACCTCAAATATCTGCACTCATCTAATTCTGGCCACTTGAACATCCCCAATTTTAACTGCTTAACCATGAGTGGCTGTGTTTTCAATTGCATAGATGCAAGCTCTGGCACTCCTGTCCCACACCTCTCCACCTTTCCTCCTCTAAGAGGCTTCTTGAAACTTCTAGGACCGTCTAGGATCGAAACGTCAGCCTTCCTGCTCCTAGGCCTGCTGTGTTCATCCAGCTCTACACCTTGTTAACTCAGATTTTCCAGCATTTGCAGTTCCTACTATCTCTGATACAATTATGCAGTGTCATGTTTTGTTTCATAACACTCCTGTGAACCACTTGGAGCATCTTTAATCTCACTAAAAGGCACTGCACAAATATAAGTTGCTTTTGTACATCACAGAAATAGATGACAATGACATGCACGAATTAATTTTTTTCACAAGACTCTTACTCAAGTTTTGAACTGGTTGCAAGTGAAACATGTGTATTTGTAACGTGCTTTAAAAAAGAAGTCCTTGCCTTTTCAAAAATACTAAGCTTAAGCAGATTAAAGTTGCAGAAAATTTAAATAAACTAAAAACATTTTGTTTCTGAAGTTACAATAATGCAGATCTTTACTTTACATAATTCAAGGCAAAACCCACGCATATAGTATTTCTGAAGAAGGGTCTAGGCCCAAAACATCAGCCTTCCTGCTCCTCTGATGCTGCTTGGCCTGCTGTGTTCATTCAGCTCTACACCTTGTTATCCCTGCATATAGTAACTTGGTCTGAAGTAACATGTCTGGATTCTCTACTGGCCATTCTCCCTTGTTCTTAGAAATCAATGAGACATAGTACTATGTAATGTGATAACCAAGTCCAAACTGCAGCCCTATTGCTGCCTCTATTAACGCAATAAAGGAAAAAACAAATTCAAATAATTACTTAAAAGTAAAGATATTTGACTGTGATCAAAGAAGTCATCTAGTTCATCTTACAACTAAAGTTGGTATAATATTTCTTGAGCAAAATTATACTTTCCATTGGTCCAGTCTGGATACTCACCAACATTTCCTTCCTTGGAAGTCTATGCCCAAAAGTCCTAATGACTAAACTGGGTTCTGATTATATAAAATTCTACAACATACAAGAAGAGAACACACATGTAGAAAATCTATTCTGCGATTCCAGGATAAAAGCTAAGGCTTTACTACGACAGGGTTAGAAGCAGTATTCTTTGACTGAAGTATCACAGTCTATTTTATGTGGCATCGTCACAAACGTTAATTTTGTTTGGCAGAGTTAAACTTCATCTACAGTTAAGAATTTGCCATCTGTGAGTAGTCTGTTTGAAGTTTTTAAATTAAGAAAAAAATCAATTATCAATACAGTTACAGCATTTTCAAAGAATCAACATCCTAACAATAATTCACTCCAAAAATGAAATAAAATGGTTAACTCCACAGTATTTCAGAAAACAGTCACTGTCTCCTACTGCATAATATAGACTGAATTGTAACTCAAACAACTCCACTTAAGTTTGTTCATCTCAATTCATGAATCAGCTTGAGTGCTATTCCAACAATTCCTGAGGCAACCAACCTTCTTTTCACACTTAAATCTACATTTAACGTACTAAACTTACAGAGTATGATTATACAACATGTTATCAACAAGTTGGCACTGGAGTCCTCATTAAAATCTATTGGTAGCAATTGTTCAACTATTGGGGATTTCTTCAGGAATGAAAGGAAGACTTCTGCCAACTTTTGATAAATTCTACAGTAACATTTTACATGGGGCATATATCCAGAATCAGTAATTACTTATTTTGTCTTCAAAGCCCAATTACAGTGAATGAATTTTTTTCACATAAATTATGAATGCACTGTGAAAGGGCTATATTGAGAATTCTGATCTCAGTTCTGTAGGTCCAAATATGTCTGGACTGTATTTCACCCAACAGGACACCTAGGAACCATTTAAGGCCATTACATACTAATCAAATAAACCGTATCAGGTGGATAAACATTATTCAAAATCAAAATCAAGTTCAAACATAGACTTATTCCCAGTAGCCATTGTTCCCCCTACTACTTTTGGGCAAAGAAAGCAGGTGCGCTAATAAGCTCAGATTTCCAAATACATTCTAAAGGAAATCAACATCCCACAACAGATTTACTTTGGACTATTTCTTTCTACTTTTTTTTGAGAAGCATTAACATACAAATCTCTTAATATCCTCAAATGAATCCATACATTCAAATATTTTATCATTCTTACCAACTAAAGATAAAATACTCAACCTCATTCATAAACAAATGATTAACCAGGTTAGAAACCAATATAAACCATTCCCACTTTTCAAAAAAAATCTGATATTTCCAAACTCTAAGCACATTTTGAATTGCTTTAAATATAGACCTTCCGTTTATCTTATTAATCCACTATTTACATTTCATGCCCAATAACTGTTTACATATTTATCTTTGTATAGATACATATACACAAATATCGTGTCTTAATTAAAGTTGCTGTACTTTGCCCTGAAATTTCAAGTAACCTAGACCTCCATTTAATACCATTGAGCCAGCGCCTTTTGTAAACAAATCTCATTTCTATATGCTTTTACAACAGAAAATTGAACTGCTGCTTTTAATAAGATTGATCTGTACTACCGATTTAACATTTGTCAAACAAACAGACGATGGTTTGGTGAAAACAACAGGAAATTTCACCCTTCCCCCACCTGAAAAAATATAAATTCGATAAGAATATTTTTCTCTCTCCCCTTGTACTTGTAAAACTGGCTGCTGGGCGGATGGATTGCGTGAGAAAAACCAAGGACAGTCATCAGCATGTCGTCACCTGACTCCACACAGAATAGTGTAATAACAAAAAACCCGTGAGATCAGATACTGAAGAAGGCTACAAAGCGCTTTTCCCGTTTACCAAATTAACTTTGCTTTCCGATATATCAAAATCCAACAAGTATCAGTCTTTTATTTACAAACATTCGCCCTATCATCAAACAAAAATAGAGAAAGTGAGAGTAAAAGCACACACTCCAGCTTCCTACTCGGGCTTGTCTTTGTATCCTTGCACGTCCTTCGTCTGCTTGGCAATTAAACAACATTTGTATTTTAACCTCTTTTTAAATATTTACGTGCAATGAAGTGACGCGCAAACGTTCAAAACACACATTCCACCAAAAATGAAACTTTAAAATTAATTTCACCACTTAAAGGCAGAGATCGGTCAAACAAAACACAAAATAAACAAGGGAAAGAAAGTATTTTTAAAAGATGTGAACTCGAACTGAAACCACATTTCCCGCTCCCCTCCCCCAAACACACACGATCCGACTCCCGTCCTCCATCTTAGATCCGCACTTCGGTCGCCTTTTTTCTCTTAAAAAATAGAACAAAAGTTCAAAAATACTAACCGTTCCTGCCCATTTTGGAACCGATTTTCACTTTCCGTTCGACTGCGTAAGGAAATATCGAGTTTTAAATTTGATTAAATTAGAAATGGGAATAGTTAACACCGCTTCTTCACAGGACGAACAATCCTAAGCCGCCATCTGGTGGCATTTTCCACAATCGAATGGCGCAATGCAAATCCAGACAAAGATTGCCCTCTGGCGGCCACCATCCGCTGCCTGGTTCGTGCCCGCGCGCGAGCGAGCGAGCGGGCGACCGTTGCAAGAATATCGCGGTCGCGCGCCCAGGAGGTTTGAGGGTGTGGTGGGTCACGGGCGATGGGACGGAGCGGGGTTGGGTCGGCGCGAGCGCGCACTCTCCCACGCGCGCACGCTGCGCAATCACGAGGACGTGCGTCATTACGTCCAGCTTGCGGTCCGTGTATAAAAGGCGAGGATTCGCGGTCTCGCTCTTGAATGCCGTTGGTTTGGCTTTTTCGGTTATGCATGTGTGGTTAGTAATGTTAGGTGGGTGCTGTAGGTGTAATGGCTGAGGGATACTTGCATTTGATAATGCCAGTGTATTTTTCTTTGAACTTGTTGCTGTGGACTACGCTGTTTACATAGTGTTAGTGAGTTGTTGTGATCTTGTTCCTGACGCCGCTGTTCGACAAGAACAAGGAGGGGTGTGTAATGGCGGCTGCACAGAAGGAGACATGTTGTTTACTGAAAACTGTGAACACAACGTCTTCGCACCGCATGAAACTAACCCACGTTAGGAATTTCTTATTTCAAAGGAGCACTTATGTTTGCTCTCTCTCTCTCGAGAAGTGAGGGGAAAACGTATGGCGTGCAGGCTAATGACCAGTGTAAATTCACAAGACGTTTTTTCAGTGCTGACCCACCCCTGGCATGGAGGGGGCACCATTGTTTCCGAGTCATTCCGTGCATGCCGTCGCCCCACTGACATGGGACTCCAGCGGACCCTGTTTCCCTGGGATGTTATCAGGAAGTGGAGTAATGCTTGCCCCGACTGATGAGGAAGCGCTTATTCGTGGCGGGCGAATAACGTTATGCGCCGAATATTTTTGAATTCTTGAAATTTTTGAGCCAAGTTATTTTTTATTTTCATGTACTTGAAACGCTGATATACAGGAGCCAGGCCATCTGTCCAGTGTCTCCTTCATCCAGGAGTCAAATATTGTCCATGTCTTGACATAAACTGGGAAAACAATGTGTTGTACTGTTTATATTGATCAACTTGGATGGATGCTGTGTTTGTGCGAAAGCACCAAGTTCTGTGACAAGTACTGTGTAATTTTCCTGCAATCTTGGTGCTTGCTTTCTTGTAGGGAGCAAGCAACTGAATTGCCATCAGTTTTTTGAGTAGAAACCTCAAGTGTCAGTAAGCCTGTAATTTTAAGCTAAGGGTTCTTTCAAGCCCTCAATGTAGAATTCATAAACATGTAACTGTGACCCAAGTCATAAAACTCAGGTAATTTTTTTCATCCTCCCATCAATGAAAAATGAGACATGCAGCAAGCAAGTCAGTTTCAAATGTGTTGCCATATTGCATCTTTTCCTAATGGCTGAATTGGCCAGTGTTTGAGGCAGGTACTTCCTCAAATGGTGCACATAGCTACCAACTTTTGTGGCAGTTTGCTGTTGGTGTCTGCTGCTAAACTGTTGTAGCAATTGGTCATTGTTGTGGTGCACAGCAGCCCAAGTAGATTTCAGTACTTTTCCTCAGCCTTTTAGTAACCACCAAATGTGGTGACCAACATCTAGGGCCTTCATTTTAGTTTCAGGCATCCTTGCTGCAGAACTTTGGATGTCCTTCCTGTTATTTGGCTTCAGCTACCTTGCTGTGCAAAACATCCTGTTGTATACAGTCATCTGTTACAATGACTTGCCTGAGCCAATGAAGGTTCCTCTGTTTGAATGCTAACAAAGTGGGATTATTTATGACTGTCCTGTCAGGCTGCACCCATTATGTATTGCAGACAGTGAAACTGGAAATTGTTGAGCTGCTTTTCTTGACAGCTGTATAATATGCACAAATGCTAGAGGAGAAGAACAGCTCTTGGTACATGTAGGTGTTGCCATTGAAAGATGACATCTACCTGTTCGTACTTCCCAAGTCACTTTTTTCACTCATCTATTTGATTGATAGCATTGCAAGTTTTTAATCCCCACATTGTGGATGTGACCAGAGCAGGTATCTCTACCAAGGAGAAGGAACAACTTGGGTTAACTTGCAAGATCATTTAATGAGGCCATATAACTTGTAATTAAGTTTGGAAAGATCTTAGTCCATTCTTTCAGCATCTATCCTTAGTTTCTTGGGTTCTACTTCCACTGTGCTGCCTGTGGCATGAGACATTAAGTACTATTTGATACATATTAAATGGAAATTTTGTAAATGTCAGTGTATATGTACACACAACACTTTCTCATACATTATTTTGTTTAATTTGGGGTATTTCCAAGTATTGATTGCAAGTGTTAGATTACAAAGAACACAACACAATGCAGTGTGCATCCTTGTGGGGGTGGGAGAAAACATTACTTATCTGTTTATTTGCACTGATGCTTAGCAAATGATAACTTGTGGTTTTGTATCTTTACACCTCTGTACAAACAATACTGTTTCTCATTGTTGGACACCTGGCAACTTTTTTTGTCAGCCACTAGATGGACCAGTCTACTATCATTTCACCTCTGAAATAGTGAAAGTATCCTCCCCCTAACAGTTATTTGGATTTTATCTGGATAGTTTTGTTTCATTTCAATTCCCACTGGAAGCTATTCCTGGACATTGAAAATATTTTCCACTTACGTTTTTAACTTTGCTCAGGTCAATATAAATACTTTTTTGGAAAATGAAATGTTCACTTCCTTAAGTAACATATAAATCATTGCCCAATGTGAAACTGAACGACACTGTCCAGGGGGAAAACAGATTCAATTTTGGATGTGCACTGTGTATGCTAGCCTGAATGGAGGTCAAAGCAGAGATGTCTGGATGTGGGAAACAATGTTAAACCAAGCTTTCCGTTCCCAGTGGGTCTTGCTAGGAAGTAATTAAATCGATCAAAAATGCCCCATCCATCTGATTATCCCTTACACCAGCAAGGATCTACCTGGTATTTGCTTAGTACTGAAGTGAATATCAGTCTTGATAATGTATTTTAAGTTTAAGCCTGAATCTTGATCCCACAAATGTTGCTCTAGAATGTTGTCATCTAGACACTAGCATCCTAAAAGTGAGTAAAGTAGCTTTTCAGGAAGAATTTATAAAGTGTCACATATTTGAATGATGAGGAATGGTGGAAGCATTGACTCAATTGGATAAATCGTCAAAAACAGCCATTTACAACACCATTTTCAACTGGAGGGGGCAAAATAGTGGTGGTGTCTTATACACCAAGCGGTTAATAAAGCATCTGAAGAAGTTACGTGAACCAGCTGGAGTGTACCAATTCAGAGCATCATATTTCAGAAAGAACACAAAGGCTTTGGGGAGGGCACAAAGGAGTATAGAAAGAGGAACTTTCCATCGGTGTCAACAGTCACTGATGAGTGGAAAGCATTTGGAATGCATAGTTTCAGAACGTGGTGGATGGACGTGTATTCAGAGAGAAAAAAAATGCAGGCATGAGGGAGTGGGGCAAACTGAATTGTTTAAAATAACAACAAGAAGTGTATATTTTTCATATTTACAGATTTCATAGTACAGCCTAGGCACTACAACAGAATGTGTGAATATATCCTTACAAATCTCCAATTCTAACTGGGATGTCTGAAGGAATTAAGGAGTGGGGTAGACGACTTGTGGTGACAAGTACTCTCTTTTAAAATGAGATGGATAATGGACCTATTACAGATTTAAATTATAAAAACACATCTGTGCCAAGTTTGTTTTTTGAAAGAGTTCTCCACATACGCCCATTCTTCCTGCCCTTGTCCCATTACACATTTGGGTTTCCCTTCAAGTGTTTACCTAGCTACCTTTTGAAAGTTACAATAAAACTACTTCCACCATTTTTCAGTCAGTGCATTCCAGATCATAACACACTGGGTGAAAAAGGTCTCATCCTGTCTCATTTTACCAATTATCTTACCTTGAACAGATAGGGAATGAGCAATTCATAAGTGCTAATCAGCAGCCAAAGTGGAAACGTTCAATAAAAATAATAATATACAAAAATTAACTGACAAGTCAATCAGTTGCCCTTTGAATTCTCAATAAAATGAAAACTTGAGTACTTCTAATGTAACCTTTTAACATAGCACTTGTAAGAAAATTATTAGATGTAACCAAAATGTCATTTTCTATCTGTTTCCACTAAGATTTGCAGTCAGAATTTTGAGGATTAATTTATTAGCGTTTCCAGTTATTACTGTCAGCTGAAGAGAATAATTTTGATATCCAGCTAACTTCCATCTACATTGCTACCTGTAACTCCTATTCTATTTTAATATTATTGACAGCAAGATAGTTATTTACAGTACATGTCAAGATTCTATGACTTGATGATCCCAAAATTAAATATGGTGAGTTGCATAAGATTTGTCTCAATATTCCAAAGAGCTGAACCCATCAGAATGTGATTAGAATTTCCTTTGCATGTTCATTGAGAACTTTTAGCATGAGTACCATGTATAATTGAACTAATGCACTGAGATGTTTGAAAATTACTCCTCAAAAAAAAGTACTAGCTGAAGGTGGCAGCATCAGACTAGAAGGAAAATGTTTGGGTCACTTGTGTTTACTGTCAAGGCAGCTGCAAGAGGTAACTTGTGTTGGAAATTGGGATCTCCTTTAAACCTGAGTTCACTCTATTCCAAATTCAGTATTCCTTGTGTGGCATGAAATCGTATTTAACTGTGTTGCAACAGAAACTAATTTTCTTCAAATTTAAACGATTTATTATGAGTACAAGAGATAGTAGGAACTGCAGATGCTGGAAAATCTGAGATAACAAGGTCAGAAATTTCTGATTAAGGGTCTAGGCCTGAAACGTCAGCCTTCCTGCTCCTATGATGCTGCTTGGCCTGCTGTGTTCATCCAGCTCTACACCTTGTTATCTCTATTATGAGTACAGCGTTGTCGGAAATAAGGTTTTGTTCTTGGAAGGAAAGAAACTAACTTTCATAATCTATTTTGAAAACCTGTCAAGGATGCACTCACAATCACCATTGCTTATTTCTACAATTTCCAAATTAGCTCGTGTTACCGATTGTCTAACTTTTCCATTGAACTATCTACCAGTGGCATTTTAAAATACAGCGAACTTCGTTTTAATTGGCACGTTATCAACCGGTACTCTTGATAAACCGGCAAAATGATATACATCAAATACTGCGATGTTCGAGTATTTATGTTGTCAATAAAATACAACAGTGGTATGTATACCATCGGCCTGACGTTTCCATTACTTAAGTTTTTTTTAAAAATTGATTTCATTAGGTGTGGTGATGTTTTTAACATCGATTTTTTTGGGGAATGTTGATGTCCCTAACCTTTGCTTGGTCAGGGTTTACGGCGGTTACGCGCACCTGTATTATCAGTGATATTGATCAACCGGCACATTTCGGTCACAATGCCTGTTAAAAAAAAGTTCTAAGGTCAACGGACCCGAAACGTTAACTCTGTTTTTTTCCTTCACAGATGCTGCCAGACCTGCTGAGCTTTTCCAGCAACTTTGTTTTTGTTCCTGATTTACAGCATCCGCAATTCTTTCAGTTTTTAAAAAATAAAAAGGCAGACCACGTCGACTGCAGTCCTTATTGGGGAATTTTGATCAGGTGACCATCATCAGGCAAACCTTGTAGGCAGCAGTCCTTATTAGGCGGTCCTTAGAAAGCTGTCTTCTCCGGACGGAAGATGGACCAGAAGAAGACCCAGAAGGGAGATCCTTGCCACATTGGCTCGACGGAAGGGTGTTGCCTTCGCGCCTCCAGTGAGATCTACACATTCCAATCCTAGTTTGTCCACTGGTATCCTGAACGACCTCCAATTATCATAGGTGTATACATTTTTAAAAATCTACTTAATAAGTATATCTCTAGACTGCTGCTTCTAAACAAACACAATAAACTATCTGAAAATTGCTACAATTTGTTAACTGCCTGTATTAGATTGTCAGGAGTGGGATATCGCAGGAGTCGAGGCTTAATTGACTGTAAATTCGAGAAATTGGGAAACAGCAGTCTTAGATTGTAGTTAAACAATTTTTTGAGTAATTCCTAAGTAAATTAGGAAGTTATAATGGAGTACTTTAAATGCAATTGATAGATAGTTTAATAGAAACTTTAAACAACCGGTAGAGAGAGCTGTATTGAAAATTGTAGAAATATGCGAGTGATTACGAGTGCGTCCTTGACAGGCTTTCAAAAGCGGTTATGAAAGGAACTGAGTTAGAAATAAATTAGCCGACACTGCTCATTTGTGCTTTGCAGTTAGGTAAAAATGAAAAGCTGTAGGATTCGTTAACAGTTGCCAACAGGAATTAATTAAAGACTTAAAGGACTGAGATAGGATTCATATTTCTCTAGAATTAAGTCTCTGTTATGAATGATATTGGGAAACAGGTTGAAACTTTGTTTCGATGTTTTGTCAAGATCTTTCTAACTTTTATATACTTTTGTCTATTTATTTCTTTTCCATAATATACATATGCCTTGTTAAAGAACGTCTGCAACTTCCTGTGAATATAGTTTAGAGACTAACTATCATATTAACCAACCGCAAAAATTAAATATATATGTCAAACTCGCTTCTTATTTAAGGATTGATGTAAATACATTGGAGGCAGTTGAAATTAGTGGATTGTCTTATGAGGATAGATTGGACAGGCAGGGCTGTCTGCCCTGAGATTAGAAGAGTGAGGACTTGGTTAAAATTAATAAGACCTTGAATATTCTTGACAAGGTGGTCTTGGAAAGGTTGTTTCCTCTTGTGGGTCAGTCCAGAAGGAGGGGACACTTTAAAAATTAGGGGTCACTCTTTAAGAACAGAGAAGTTTTCTCACTGATGGTTGTGTGACTGAAATTCTCAGAAGATCGTGGCAGGTGGGTCATTGCTTATTTTTAAGACAGACGCGGATAGATTCTTGTAAAGAGGAGGAATCCAGGGCTGTTAGGGGTAGATGGGAATGCAGAATTCAAAACACAAACAGATTGGCCATGATCTTATTGGATGACAGAGCAAGGTCATAGACCAAATTGTCTACTTCTGCTCCTATTTGATACATTCACCAGAAGACAGTTGATCTTTCAGGTGTATAGCCATTGTCAGGTAGATCGTAGACACCATGGGAGCTGTCACTCAGTCTTACATGACACCAGTCCAGATTTTGAAGGCAAATTTCAAATCTGTCAAAACAGCTGCAGTCATATGACTACAATGAAGTTGCTTGGGCATCCAAATATTTGGTGAACAATTCACACAACATCACAGTTTACTGAATAACTGCTTTGGTCAAAGCACTGGTGTTTTTGACATTTTCCTGGCAACAGAAGACCATGTCTCTGGGAAGTACATTTTGGCTATGGTATACGTTGTTGCCCAGTGCATTGGTGGTAGACTGAGTTAGTGTGTAAGTTGATGAAAAGGTTCTTAATTAAGAAGAGTGCTTTGTTCTGCATATATTGAGTTTCTTGAGTGTTGTTGGAGCTGCATCAGTGGAAAGCATTTTCACACACTACTGACGTATGTCTTGGAAATAAAGAACAGATATTTTCGGAGTAAAAGTTGTGTTATTTACTGCAGAATTTGCAGCCTCTGACTTATTGTTATACCTATAATCTATAGACAGTTTGTTGTGTTAGATTTCTGGTCAGTGATGGCATGCAAGATGTTGATAGTGGGGATCAGTGATAGTAGTTATTTTTCATTATCTATTCATGGGTTGCAGTTGTTGCTAGCAGTAGCCAACCCTGATTGCCCTGAAATAATTTCCCCTTGAGAAGGTAGTGTTGAGCTGCCTTCTTAAATCAATACAGACAGTTGAGTTGGATGTGTGGAGGTGCTGGATGATTTATTACCAGATGGTTTTTAAAGTAATGATAGTTGTCATGATCACCATTACTAAGAATTAATGCATTTTAGTTCCATCAACAGCCATAGTGGAATTTGAACACATTCTTCAGAGCATTAAAAAGAAATATGGACTGCAGATGCTGGAATCCAGAGTCTATAGGTGTGAAGATGGAAAAGCAAAGCAGGTCAGATAGCATCAGAGGAGCAGGAAAGTCAACATTTCGGCCCAAAATGTTGATTTTCCTGTTCCTCTGATGCCGTATGATCTGCTGTGCTTTTCCAGCTTCACACTGTAGACCCCAGAGCATTACTAATCAGCAGTAGGCCTTTCAGTCCTTCAAGCCTGTTCCACCAATCAATGAGATGGTCCAGTGACATTATCAAAGGGAAATGGTGTCAAGGTAATAATGTCATTGAATATCAAAGAGAGTTGGTTCGTTTCTGTTTTGTTGGAGATGGCCATTGCCCAATGCTAATATGATGTGAACGTTACTTGCCACTAATGAGCCCAAGCCAAAATGTTGTCCAGGTCTTGCTGCATGTGAACACAGACTGCTTTGGTTTTTGAGGGGTTATAGTGGTTCTGAACATTATATAAAAATTAACAAACATTCTTACATCTGATCTTATGGTAGAAGGAAAGTCATTGAGGCAACTGAAAATGATTGGGCCAAGGTCATTACCTTGTAAAAATTCTTATGTTCTGACCAATTTATCCCTTAATCAGCATCACAAAGCAGATAATCCGGTCAATATTATGTCACTATTTGTGAGATTTTCCTGCATAACAGTGGTGACTGCACATCAAAATCACAACATGATCATAAAGCATTTTGGAATATCTGGTGGTATGAAAGGTGCTACATAAGTGCAATTCCTCCTTTCTGTATCACTGCTGAGCTATTTTGTAAAAAAGAGACAAAGTTAAGTAATCTTTACCTTAAAAGTTATATATTCTTGGCCTTTCTTAATCAAACTTCAGTTACCAATCTTAAATGTATCTCAAAAAAACCTAAAGACATTTTCTTTTTTCAAATTATGATCCCTGATTGAATTCAACATCAACAGAACAATGATAATGAAACGTATTTGAACAGAAAATAATGAAAACAAAAGTACTTCTCAAAGCGGGTTCAATTTGCACCCAGATCAGTGACCTTGCCCAAAGCAAAACTACTCTGCTATCAGAGGAGTCAAGCAATTTCAAACAATGAATATACAGTGAAAGTGTGATTGAGTTTATCTATGATGAATTGTGGCAGTCTGCCAAGACTCATGGTCCAGTATCATGAGAAGAAATACTGAAAACAATACATGAAGGGAAAAAAGAAAATTAAGAAAGAAAAGTTGATTGCTTTCACTGTCAACTATCTGTTGGTTCCACAAAATGCGATGGACTTATATGTTTTACTTCTGAATGTTTAAAGCTGTTTTAATATTTAGTTAGATTTAAAGCCTACATACTGCTACGCATTATCGTCCATAATAACTGAGCCTCTAATATGTGACATAATATATTCCATGCAAAAAGAATTAGTGAGGCAAGTCAACATAATTTCAATTTTCAACATTTTCCACTTTATAGATAGTATCAGATTGACAGGCCTATGCCACTGTCACAAATGACAGCAGCAGCAAGTTGTCAGAACAAATACATGATCTATCGTGTGTCAAAACATTGTTTACAACTTGATAGAGTAATTCTGTGCTCCCAGTGGGGAAGCGACAATAAAAGGAATATGCACTCCCTGATCATGAATTTTCATTGTGAGCATGCAAACTTGGAATCATTTGAACTTTTTCATAAATATGTAGTTACAGTTATGTGTTACATATTGGTGGGTTTTAAGAGTGTTAGGTGACAGTAAGTAGCTTTTTTAAATTGAGAAATCGAGTTAACAATCTACAGTGCACAACACCTTAGATATTTTCAGTTGTGGGTGTGCAAGTTAAATAAATTTAAAGACAATGATTAGATAATGCAAAACGTCAGTTTCTAAAGTCTGTAGATTCCAAAAGTGTGGAAAAACTCAAGCGTGAAAGTACCTCTACTTTTCAAGATCTGAAGAAGGATTCAGGAGAAAATCTTCTAGAGAGAATGAAGGGGGAAGAAAAGCATATAGAATGATGTCCGAGATATCCAGGAAGAATAGGAATAAAATACAGAAGCAATTATTTTAAATCAAAAATCTAACTTATTTCAAATCAAGCTTGAACTATTATGGTTAATGGGTTTTAAAAAGGTAATTCTACTGCACTACAATAATTTCTCCTAGTTTAGAGGAGGGATCTGTCCTTAATTGTGATTATGGGTTGAATTTTACATTTGGCCTTTTTTCACAAAACAACCAACTTTATAAAAAGGCTATCCCAAAAGTATAATGCGCTTGGTGCAGCATCAACAAGGTAATTATGGGACTTCTGCCCCCTCATTGAAAAGAAGTCCTGTCCTCAAGATTTGCTGGAAAGACAAAGAATCCAAAGCGGACAGCTTGGTGTACTGAACTATGGTAAATCTGGTATTTTTGGGCAGAGATAATTTGGGGAATAGAGAGGTGTGTGGAGGGTCATGTTTTTGACACCAGCAAGGGGCCATCAAAGGAGGATGTATCGTTACCCCACCCCCTTCATTCTCACCTTTCCACCAGAAAATCATTAGAGTTAAGAATGGGCCTGGGTAGTTGAGCTGCCTGATGCGTTACCTGCCATCTGTATTATGGAAAACAGCTCAGTTGGTCAGCCATACATCTTATTTTACGCACACCCCTCCTCATCCATGCAAAAAAACACGATCAAATGAGGCCATAGAATACTGTCTTATGTCCTTTTATGTAGACGTTGTTCTAGATTCATATGATATTTCCACTGATACGTAAACAGTAGTATTAAATATTAGATAACAAGGTGTACAGCTGGATGATCACAGCAGGCCAAGCAGCATCAGAGGAGCAGGAAAGCTGACGTTTCGGTCTGGATCCTGCATCGGCAGCTCCTACTATCTCTGAATCAGTTTTTAAATATTAATTGTATGTGAGGAAGTGATCTTGAGTGGGAGAGATTTTGTGTGTTGA